AAACAAAACCCCAATCAAGGAACTATCCAGGGGGGAAAAAACCCCACCAACACAGGCAGGGCAAGCCACAGTATATAAACAGAGAGCAAACTCAACTCCATTCTAGCACTGAAGATGTTACCTAGCTGGGTAATTAAAAATTTACAAGAAAACAACCAACCTCAGAGAACCCCAAGGACTCCACTGTTTCCCTTCTAAAATCAACATATACCCAAAGTACATTATTCCTTTTTCCCCAGTTGCTTATAACTCACAGAAACCTTCGCTTACTCCTTGCCCCTTGCTAAATTTGTTTTGCATCATGATAGAAATGATAGTTGACTGAGTCAAGACATGGAGTTGTCTGACAACAGCTGTTTTAGTAGGATGTGGGTGCTAAAATATTTTTTTCTTATGCAGTGAACCTTAGTATTTTAATAATGGGTGGCATTTCTATAACACCATTACACTACCATTTTCGTGAATTCTGTGTTTCAGAATTATGCAACAAAGTTCAACAACATAAAAGGGACTTTTGAGGGCTGGGAAAAAGGGAAGAAAAACTCTACACCACACCACCTCTCCAAAATCTAGTATTTGGGTACTCACTAAACTAGATGTTTAAATGTTGGTAGTGTGAGGCCACAGTAGTTTGGGGGGCAGCAAGAGTCATAACAGCTGGGCAATTGTGAAAAGTGAGTATGGACCATCTTGCACATAGGGAGGGTCAGGATTGATTGGATTTCTTTTGAGGCATGGGGGGGAGAGAGGTTCTCAACCTGAGCTCAGGTTTGCTCTCATAAATATAGGCCAATTTGTACCTACAAAACCACCTTAGAGGTCAAGTAGTTTCAGCTGCATGGATGGAAATCTCATATCCATAGCATATACTTCAGAGAAATTTTCATCACCAGCCTCACCCCTTTTCTTTGGATTTTGAGGACTGAGACCTTCATTTCCACGGGAAGAGGAAACAAGTAACATAGAAGCATGCATGTTTGCTTTGTGAAATGAAAGAGATTTTAAAAGAAATAAAATTCTATGGTTGTTCCATGGTACTGTTTATTCATCATTTGTTAGATTTATATCCTGCCTTTCCTCCAGGAGTTCAGACAGCATATTTACCACTCTCTCCTCCCCACTCCCTGGACAACCACCCCATGAGAGGAATTGAGCTGAGTGATTGGTCCCAAGTCACCCTATAACCCTGAAAGTGGATCTTGAACCTGGGTCTTCCCCTCCTGGTTCAACATTTGAACCATTACATAGTACTGGCTATGTGCATCTCAGTTGCTCAGCGACTGAGAACATTTGCAGCTGTGTGAAGTATCTTGGGTTGGCCCAGATTCTAAATAATTTCTCTGCTGGTACATTTGTGTTCTACTTCTCTTCTGCCCTTGTCCTTTACCTCTAGAAGGGAAGAGCCAAAAAATCCCTATGGTACTGAACTACCTTTACCAGCAGCCTTAACAACTATAATCATTGCCATCCCATTTGTAAAAAGTGGAGTATTGCTTGCCATCTATGAACTACAATTTTCATTTTGAAGCAAGATTTCACTTTTCCACAGCCGGTACACAAACACTGGAAGGTACTGAAGCAATGCTTTTTCTTCATATATGACATCTGTTCCAATTTCATTTAACCAAAACATATGAGCATCATCACCTTGTGATGCAGAGTAGCAAAATATGCCACTTTTACCAGTAAGAGGAAATCAAATATGACCTCGCATGTCTCTTTTGTTAATTCTGGCTGGTGGCGCTCCGGCATGAATGAAATATTCTAGTGGAGTGTATCCTAAGACAGCAATACAGATGTACCAAAGTATGACAGGGAAGAGGAATAACCCCAAAAGGGACTTCCCTTTCTAGACTTCCTGGAAAATATTGCTATGAAGAATCCATGTACAGCTTACATTTCCAACACAATGATACATCAATATTATGGCTTATTTAATATAAATCTCCAGTATAACCACGCTTGGAATACTGCACACAGTTCATGTCACTGAACCTCAAAAATTGGTGGTATAGACATGAAAAAAAGGGCATAAAAGGGACATAGCAGTTTTTTTTTCAAGGAGCAATAACAGAATTGGCACTTTTTAGCTTAGAAAAAAGAGAGAGGGGAGTGGACAGCAGGAGAGAGAGGTATAAACTCATGTTATTAAAAATGTGGATACTGTACTTTTATAATCCTGACGCTAAATACAGGGAGAGGATGTGTTCTTTACACAACACAGTTGAAACTGGAATTCACCGCCAACCAATATAGTGATGGCTATCAATGTAGTTTTAAAGGGGGGCTTGAGCAATCCATGGAGAGGAGTTATCAGTCTTCTCGTCTGGGTGGCTTTATGCAGTCTTCAGAATTAGGTAGTCTTTAGTGACCACCATTGGGACTGGCAACTTGGTTGCCAAGTGAAGCAGTCACTAAGTGAAACCATTACTGTGCTTATGATCTTACTTCAGCTTTCCTTTGCTTTACAGGCCTGTCTATATATTAAGTAGAATGGAATGGAAATTAGACAGTGTAATTTGCGCCGTGAAATTTGGGAATACACGTTAAACTGTCCATTTGGCAAAACAGTCATTTAATTTACAGTGTAATAAAGGTTACAGATAAAAAGCTCAACAGTGTGTGAAAAGGCCTATTACACAAATGTACAAATGTCTGTACAGAGCCCCACACATTTAATCCCTCCCCTCCCCTCCCCCCTTCCCCAATTTTAGCCAAGCTTGGCTTCAAAGAACTGAAAAGACAAGTTTGTACTATCCCAGGGAGGTCAGGGACAATGCTAGCACATTGTAAAATCCCAGGAGATGTATTTTGCAAGAACCAATCAATTTTGTTTTGTTTTAAAAAATCTTACTTTAAAATTGCAGAAGGAAAAGTTCAAGTGTTTTAAACTGATCGTATCTTGAGTAGGTGCCCTCACAGATTAAGAAATTACTCCACAGCCTTGGAAGA